AAGAAAGAAAGAAAGAAAGAAAGAAAGAAAGAAAGAAAGAAAGAAAGAAAGAAAGAAAGAAAGAAAACACGTGGCCGGCAAGCCACTCCCACCAGGTCACATGGCTGGCAAGCCACTCCCACAAAGGAGGCCACACCCACAGAGTAGGTTCCAAAAACTTTTGAAACCCACCCCTTGGTATACTCCCAAGTAACATCCAACTTGCTCAGTGGACTTACATCTAGGTAAGAACAACATTTTCTTGTTCTTTCAACATCACCATTAAATGATGTTGATTTAGCTGCATTAAATGAGAGGAACACTTTCATGATTGAAAATATATTGTATGCCATCAAAGAACAAGCTTCCTCGGTTCTAACAGAATGGTGGAGAATGGAAGATTTTATAATCCTTGCAAGCCATCTGGTTGTCAACACTCTCTTTGAGAGTTGTAACAGCCACTTGGAGGGTTATCTGTGCCCTCAGGGATCACCTGAATAGTGCAAATGGATGTGGAACATTCTTGGAACTGATGAAAAGACTGTGTTGTAAATGGGAGATACGTGGTGTCCAGGGGTGGTATACACTTAACCAGAAGTGGTATTCAGCAGATTCTGACCAGTACTGGAGAACCAGTAGCGGAAATTTTGAGTAGTTCAGAGAACCGGTAAATACCACTTCTGGCTGGCCATGCCCCCATCTATTCTCTGCCTCCCGAGTGCCAGTGGATCGGGAGGAAATGGGGATTTGGCAGTAACCTTCCCTTGGAGTGGGGAGGGAATGGAGATTTTACAGTATCCTTCCCCTGCCATGCCCACCAAGGCACACTCACAGAACCAGTAGTAAAAAAAAAATTAATCCCACCACTGCACTTGCGTTCCCTATCGGTTCACAAATGTGAGCGTTTTGGGCGAAAAAAGGGTCTAAATGGGAAACCATAGAGCCAGGGCAGGTGGGCGGGGCCACCTGAAATTACTGCTACTGGTTCGGGTGAACCGCTCCAAACCAGTAGAATACACCTCTGGTGGTGTTGTATCCCTTCACCTCTGTTGGGAGAGGAGCGAACAGAGGGAGGCGTGATCTCTCAACTGGGGGGGGAGGGAATACGATGCCACCTATCTCCTTTACAACACAGCCCTTTCAACAGTTCCAAGAAGATTCCACACCCATTTGCACTATTCAGGTGACCTCGAGGGTACAGATGAATCTTCAGGTGACCTCAAGGACATTCAAAGAGAATCCTGCCACCAGATGACTGCAGGGAATATAAATCCTCCCATTCTCCACCATTCTGACAGAACCGAAGAAGCTTCTTGGATGAGAAGCAAAATGTCTTCAAGGAAAAACAAAAAAAGGCCTGTTGCCTTTTGATAGCAATAGCATAGCAATAGCAGTTAGACTTATATACCGCTTCATAGGGCTTTCAGCCCTCTCTAAGCGGTTTACAGAGTCAGCATATTGCCCCCANGGTTTCGTCGAGCGCGCTTTAGTCGAACGCGGTTTTGTGGTGGAACCCCTCGGACCACGCTTTAAGAAACACTGCATTAAGGTTTTCTAGATTTCTTTTGTGTTGCTGAACATCTTAACTGCCAGCCTCACCATGGATCAACACCATGGATCAAGATTCAGAGTTCTTTTCCGAGATACCCATTTCTTTACATCTTTAAAAAACTAGGTGGTGATTATTAGGAAATCATCAAGTAAGCACTGATAGAAATCCTGGAGGAGGAGAATTCTGCGGCCAATTTGGGGGCAGTGGGTTAAAGAGTTTTAATTGATGGGTGCAATGCTTATCCCAGTCACTGGGAAAATTAATGGCAAGAAATGAGCTATTCCCAAATCTGTATGCAACATTCATTCTGCCATAATTGGAAATTTTCTTCATTCAGGATTTTAATCAGTGCAGTCAAAATGTCTATTACTGTTTGTTAATGTGGGCTATAGCAGCCGTGCTTTACAAAATACCAAAAGGTCATTTTTTTTTCAAACTGACAATGTAATAATAATTTCTCAGAATATACAAGCTGTAGGTTAAACACGGTAACCAAATTGGACCACCCGGTGCTTTGTAAGTTATTTTTAAATCCGGCTTGGAGGAATGTCTTTTAGCGAGGAATTTGATTTGAATGTCCTTTCCTTTTGCAGAAAGTCATTTCCTTCACAACACGCCACCCTGGCAGCCTTTGCAGCTGTGTATGTTTCGGTGAGTAATTAAGGCTTTTCGTATTAATGTGTACAAGCGGGGGGGGGGAGGGGAATCAGAATGTCATTACTTCCCTTGTATAGAACAACCTGATGATAAAGAAGAATCACCCCAACTTCATTTTTTCAAAGAAGTGAAATATGAAAAATAGAGATCAAGGAGAATTGGTAGAAACACCATTTTTATTAAATATCCTGTCCTTTGGAATGAGGAAATACTTTTAAAAGCAGCATCGTGAACTGTGGCCATTCATAATAATATAAATGTCATATATGTATACTCTAGAGGTGGGTTCCTACCAGTTCACACCTATTCGGTAGAACCGGTTCGTCAAATCTACCGAACTGGTTAGAAGAGGTTCCATCAGGGGCCCCGGAAAGCAGGCCACACCTACAGAAGAGGTTCCAAAAAATTTTGAAACCCACCACTGCCACACAGACAGACAGACAGACAGACAGACAGACACAGAGAGAGAGAGAGAGAAAGAAAGGAAGGAAGAAA